TTCTCAAATGAACGTACTGCAGAAAAAACAAAATAAAGCCTTAAGGATAATATTAGGATGTAGTGTATACACTAGTAGAACTGACATGCTAACAATGGCAAATGTTTTAAGTGTAAGACAGACAATTGTATGTAATAGTATGATTTTTGTTTATAAAATGTTAAATGGTCTGATACCTGTGCATTTGTGTAATAATTGTACCTTTGTTCGAGATGTACATGAACACAACACACGTTCTAGAAATAACTTTTATCTGAATAGGGTCAACACTAATTTTGGTCAGAACATTTTTTTATAGGGGATTAAAGCAATACAATGAATTACCGGAAAATATTAAGGCTTCTGGAAACCTAGCTCAATTTAAAAATTTTTGTAAGATATATGTTAAGCAAAGCATTGTGATTTAATTTTAAGGGTATAAATTGATGTATCTATATGTATATTTTTCTAGCCATGTGCTATTAATAAAAATTATTATTATTATTATAAAAATGGACACGTTGCTTTCTTGTTCTGAAATCATTTTTCATAAAAAAGAAACAACAAAATCTAAGCGCACAGAAAAATTTTAAGGGGGTGTGCAGCCCTAAATCTTTCCAAACTTTTGAGTACGTTTAAATTAAATTAATTTTGTGGCACCATTAGTTTAACATATTATTTTTTAAATTTTTTTGCCTTTTATCACTTTTTTTAAAAAACAGTTTTTATTGAGTTACGGCCCTTTTCATTAACCTTTAAAAAATTACGTGCAACTAAAGAAAACACTTAAATGAATTAACAAGTACAAAAAATGCTATAACCTCTATAAATATGATATTACAAACAATATTCAAAATGACCCCATTTTCTTCAATACACATTCGGTATCATTTTAATAAGGAAAACTCAATGCGCTGAAAAATCATATTTTTCTGACGAAATTAATTTGCAGTTTCAATTATTCTAACCCTCAATTGTTGTTCGTCCTCTATTGTTACAGAATAAACTTTCTCTTTCATTAACCCTCAAAAGCAAGAGTTCATTAATACCTGGACTTCTGGGTGGCCAAGGAATAGGTGCGTCACGATCCCTTCCAATCCACCGACCAGGATACTGCCTGCAAAGGTAGTCCCGGACTTCATTACTGTAATGCGGTGGAGCGCCATCTTGTAGAAACCACATATTTTGCCTTATTGCAATATTCACTTCTTCCAAATACTCTTGTTAATCGTTTGCCAAGAACTGCAAATAATTATCACCATTTAAATTGCTGCGAAGAAATACTGGGCCTATTAGATTGTTATCCACAATTCCTACCCAAACATTAATTTTGAATGTCCTTTGGCAATGAGTCGTTTTTTTTTGGCGTGAGGATTTTCGTCGGCCCAAATGTGCTCTTTATGATGATTTGTTATTTCATTTCCTGAAGGTAGCCTCGTGCGTAAACAATAATCAATCAGCCAACAACCAATCGCAAAATCCAATCCTTTTAGGATAATCTTCAACCAATAACTCTTGAACCGTTGTTAAGTGATAGGGTTTAAGAAGCTGATCCTTCAAACGTCTCTAAACCCTTACATGAGGAACATTTAGTTGAGCAGCTAGTACCCTTGTACTTGTTCCAGAGACTTCTTTAATGATTTCTAAAATGTCTTCATCAGTTACATCCATTATTGGACGACCACTATGCCATCAACTTGCGGTTGGAATGTACCCGTTTCCCGTACACGACGATCAATGGTCAGAAATAATCATCTATCGGGTGTTTTTCGATTGGGGTATTTTACTGCATAACGCCTGGTTGCTGCACTATTTCCTTGACATTCACCTACGACATTCCCGATAGTTTATTGAAATCATAATTTAATCTGATCCAACTTACCCAAAGTTAAATGCATATCTGCCATTTTCTGAAATGTGTAGGCCATTGTAATATCAAAATTTTTAATATTATTCTTATTCACAAAATAAATTATAGCTTCAAATTATTGACTAGTATTGATGGAACTGTTTGTAATTATTGTATCCGTAGAAAAATGCCAACTAGGAAAAAACTAGTTTTTCGAAAAAGTGATAAGAGGCGAAAAAGTTTTAAAAATAATGTGTTAAACTAATGATGCCACAAAATTCATTCGATTTGAACGTACTCAAAAGTTGGAGGGGGGGGGGATTTAGGGCTGCACACCCCCATTAAAATTTTTCTATGCGCATTTTGTTGTTTCTTTTTTATGAAAAATGCGTTCAGAACAAGAAAGTAACGTGTCCATTTTTATTACAAAATGTCAAGTAGTTTAGGAGATAATGCAAAAAAAACAATTTTTATTTTGTAACTTCAAAGGACTGTAACTTTTTTGTGTACACTTTTGTACTAAGGCAAGTTGGATTCAATCAATTTATTTTTGTCCCTGGAATGCGTGATTTAATTTATGACATACATTTTTTAAACACCCTGTATATATATAGACAATGGTATTTCTTGGGTTTAGGTTTAATAACTACTATTAAATTTGGAACTAGATTTTATTGTCCATTGAGATCAACGTTTCGGCAGGAGACCCTTGCCTTTGTCAAGGTTCAAAACGTAAACTTAAACCACCCAGCATAAAATAAAATAATGTTAATGTTTTTGTATAATTAATAATGTGTCAGACTATATATTTTACCTTAAGTAAGTTACAAAAAAAATATTTCCTTTTGAACAAATGCGAGATTTTTTTTAATCTACCATTAGAAATAACTAGGTACCTGACTTAATACTTGTAAACTTCCTTTTTTGCTTTTATAGAAAATAAGTATAGACGGAATTAGATAATAATTTTTTGGTAATTTTTTTAAGTATTTATTACTTTTTTTATTTATTTTTGATACTAAAGAACAAAAAGTTAAATTAAAAAAAAAACAATAAATATTCGTAATTACGGCCCATTGGGCCGGAATTAGATTAGCCACCAAAATTGTGCCCTAATACCGGCCTAATCAATTTTTGTAAATTCTACTTTGTTTTAGCCCAACAACTAAAAACAGTACAACTGTTAACCGTTATTCTAATGGACAAATTACTGCATGTAGGTGAAAAAATATTGTCTGTAATAATTTGCAAGCCAATATTTTAACGATTGAATTTCTCAATGCATAGGTACCTGAAACACTAAGGATAGACGACCGCTCTCGAACTGATTGTGTCGCTTGATTAAATTGAACTGACCACAGACCACTAATAGGAGGTAGGTGATCTGTGGAACTGACTAAATCAAAAGCTAAGCATGTCGCTAGCAACATGCCACCCCACCACTTAGACATAAAAAAATGGCCCAAGAAATTTCTCGCTAAGATACACACGCGCCGTAGTATTAAATTTAACTAATTTAAACGTATTTACAAATGAATTTCAATTTTTTTAATAGGCAGCATTTACATCACGAATTTGTAAATGAATGAAAAAAAAGCGGAGTAGTCAACTTCCAGCCTCGAGAGGTATGGTGGTTTGTAGCTTCTTCCACAAAAGCATACATTTGGTGACATGGGCATTTCGGATGGACTCACACAAAACCAAATTGACCATATTTTTGTAGACAGTAGACACTTCTTTAGTCTGAGAACATCCGTAGCTACAGAGGTGCTAACACCTACTCAGACCACTATCTAGTATGATCAAAATTCCACACAATAATATCATGTGCAAAGAACATGAAAGGTGGGAAACCGGAGAGGTACAAGCCTCACCTCTTGAAGGATGAACAAGTAATGGAAAAGTACCAGCAGAAGACAATAATCTAATGACTACCTAGACCCGGAAACCAAATAAATAATGAGTGGTAAATGGAATGTATAAAAAAATGTAATAAAATTTGCAGTAAATCAGATTCTAGGAACGGAAGAGGTTCAAATAGAGAAGGGTTGGTTCAATGCTGAGTGCGAGGAAGCTATTATAGATGAAAAAAATCATGCATATAGAGTCATGCAACAAATAAACATGCGAAGCAACGGTTAAATCTTACCAGGAACTAATAAAACTCCGGCAGAATTCTACACGTATTAGGATAAGTACCTAATCAAGCAATTCCACACGATTATAGCAAGAGTATGGGAAGAAGAACAAATGCCCGAGAAGTGGAACATCGATTCGCTGCGCCCGCTACACAAGAAAGGCGATTAGCGTGAATGAAATTACAAAAGGTAACACTTGTGAACAGTCTATAAGATACTCTCGAACAATTTACACACATTCATAGTCCATAATATAAGAAATTTCTTGGCGGATATCAAAGTGGATTCAGACCTGGACGCTCAACAGTAGACCAGATTTTCGTAATGGCAAATACTTGAAAAAACCAAAGAATTTGATATCGACACCTTTCACATGTTCGTAGATTTCAAAGCAGTATATGATACCGTTGCACAAAGCAAAGTATATGAAGCAATGCAATTCTTCGAAATTCATGTCAAACTGATTAAAAATATTAGTAAAGATGACAAGTTTAAGGTCACATGTAAAGTAAAAATCCAAAATAGCTACTCTGGAGAATTCAGTACAAGTGCCGCATCTCTGAAGTCAGACTCTCCCAGTTTTGGTCATCTGTAGCTTAGTGCAGATATTCCATGTTTTTGTAACAAATCTCCTAAGTGTATGCAACCTGTGTTGCAATGTGTTGTATAGTTGCCTACCCTGTAGGTTGCTCTGCGTCCTGTATTATTGGTGATGTGGCATGCGTCCTACTAAAAAAAGGGCCATATGGATTATTAGTTTTTTTTTTACTTAAGAGGTTATATAACAATTCATGTTTTTTTTTGTTTTTTATCTAAGTCTTGTTAATCTTCAGTTTGTTCATGTAAGAACAGTGCTAAATAAATACCTGTTAACATTGAAAATCCACTCTTTCCCTAAGTAAAAAAATAATTGAACAAACTCAACGATAATTAAAGGGAAAAAAACAACATACCCCCCTTACCATAATTTTAAATGTATTTTACCACTTTTAATAAGTTTACCCCGGGAATGGTTACAAAATAAGTAAACTCTATTAAAGTATAAAAAGACATTAAATTTATTTGTATAATTATGATTAAGACTACATTTTAAGTTTTTTAGCTATCCATTCTAAATATTGAGCTACGTCTGTGAAGATTACATAGTAATTTGGATCACAGGTACCTTGTTTAGCTACTGTATTGGAAACAATTCCTCGTAGTTGCCAGACATTTGATCCCGTTTTTGGGAAAGCAAGACCTCCTCCTGAGTCACCTGTGCATACGGATGTACCTTAAATATAAATATTATGGTTAGTTAAACACATAAAAAAGTATATGTATATATATATATATATATATATATATATATATATATATATATATATATATATATATATATATATATATATATATGTGTGTGTGTGTGTGTGTAACAAGAAAAGTTTAATGCGAATTATTAGCAAAACAAAGTTAGTAGGTATCGGCATAAGGCATAAGATGGAAGACAACCGTATATACTTATTTCTGATTATTAGGAGCATGTTAACTTGGGAAAGGATCACTACAGGAGTAATGTGACCAATTTGTGGTAATCATTTTAGAAGACTATGCGGATTCCAGAGCAACAACTAACACATTTACGGAGGAAGCTAAGCTATAGTGCGTGCAAGCACTACTGACCACGGCGCAGTAGACGAAATTGGGTTTAGTCCCCACTTCCAGGCGAAACGCATTGTACTATGCACTGTATAATTCCACTTACAATAGAACCTTTCTGACTTTACGTGAGCTTGACTCCGCCTTCGCGCAGCTCCATGGTCAGGGGTGCTTGAACTATCTATACCTAAGGAAAGGAATGCCAAACGTTTTAAAACGTACACGAAATATTTAGGCGGTAGGTGTGTTCTTTTTTAGAATCACTTTGCCGAGTACACTGGCATTACAGCCACTAGAAATATTTTATTATATACGCGTAGAAATAATATTTAAAGATTTCTATGAATGTTAACTCAAAGAAATACGCAATAATATGTTTCATTTAATTTGTATAAATGCATTATAAAGCGTTTTTGTGAAGAACATTTGTTCGGAACACACTGTAACTAATCGAACGATGGTGATATTTTGGCATAAATTGGTAACACTTATTTGACAGTTGCTGTGTTGACACTTTTTGTATTTTATTATTTTGAATTTTAAAGTGAATACCTCTTGGTTTATAGTTTTACCTATTTAATAAAATCTGTTCTTTTTAGAACAAAATTAGTGTGTATTATTAATTACTATTATTATTATTATAAATGTGTCTAATTTTAATTTGTTTTGTTGTATAATCCACTTTTGCAATAATTATGTGACCTATTTGATTTAAAATAGATTCAGAATTTTTTTTATACTTTGGCAACTATGTCAACTTCGATCTCTGATATCGATAATGACGTGCAACGGTATGTAAAGTAGATGAAGTATACGTATTTTTGACAGTACGGTGCAGTCAAGTTAGAAAATGAACATGTTAACTTGGGAAAGGATCAATAGAGAAGCTATGATGTCACCAATTTGTGGCAATATTGTTAGAAGAATCTGAGGATTCCAGAGCAATAACTAATACATCCACGGAGGAAGCTAAGCATACATCATGATAGTAGACAGAATACACAACAATTTTTAAAACATTAAATAAATTGAGTTCCTTGAAGTAATACATAATTATATATACTCTGGAATATCTCATAACCAACGAGTGAGAATGCGACGGTGAGATACGTTAAATGTTTAGTATTGCAAGAAGAGCTATGATCAAACTGATCAAACTCTAAAATAACAAAGCGCACAAAATTAAGGCTGGTAAGAGTACTCATTTTTCCTATAGTAACATATGCATCTAAAACGTGGACCCTGAAAAATCAGTTGAAAATAAAATTGAGACTTTTGAGATGTGGGTGCACAACCGCACGTTAAATATCCTGGGTTGAACATCAAACAAATAAAAAACTGATAATCAAGGGTAAAATTAAAGGAAATAGACGCAGGTTTAGATCTTCAAGCCATTGGCTGGATCAAACAACTAGTAAAGAAAGAGAAAGATGGAAGGGAATTGAAAAAAAGAATTGTCCTGGTAATCCTTAGCGTAAGTACTTTGTTGGGCTCTTCATTAATAATTAAAATTAAGAAGACAATCTTACCATTTCCATATCCAGCACAAAAATTGGTTGTGTCGGTAAATATTGAGTAAAACTCTGGATACGCCCTTATACATTTTAGGGTATCTATGACTGGCATTTGTGCTTGCATTAAAAGATCCGTTGTTGGATTGTTTTTGTGATCGCTACCCCATCCAACGGCTGTACCTAAAATTCTCGAGAAATCATTAATAATATATGGATTTATAATTTAGTTAATTTACCTGTATGATTGACGATAGTATCAAGAGAAGTACCCTCTTCCCATAAACATATAGGTCTTACCCATTTGGTATATTGACTTGGTCTGTCTAGCTTTATTATAGATATATCGTTGAAAAAATTTGACCTGTTGAAGCTTTCGTGGACAATTATTTTGGTAGCCTGAAATGTTTGTTCATTTTGACCATCTACCCACAATCCGTTTTTGCCTACAATATAAATAATACTGAGAATTTAAACCTATGATAAGAAGTCCTTCATAGCTATACAAAAAAAAACAGTGTTCTGGGTTGGACCGTGTAGATTATCAGTGCGCCGAGCGTTCGACATTCTATTTGATGTCTGCTTCAGGGCTTCCGAGGTCTCAGTCTTCCGAGACCCCATACGACACTGATAACTAACCAAAGCATTACTGCTACTGGGAACAGAGGACTGTTAAATTATACCGTCGAGGGTGTACCGTTTTATGTTTAATGTCTATATAATAATATAAATTCAGTTTTAAATTTTTGTAGTACGCCCCTGGTTGGTTTATCTCAAGTTGTGCAAGTTTTTTTTATATTTCGGTGGAGAAGTTAAATAAGTGTTGATGTTCCAACTAGAATATTTAAAGTTTTTTGACGAGATAAAGCAAAAATATAGATTTTTTGTTTTGTTTTGTTTCTGTTACATTGTCAGGTAGAAAATTATTCCGCTTAAAATAATTAATATAATACGTGTATTTCTACCGATTCAAAAGTAAATGTAGATGTTTTTGTCTGTGTTTACATTCAAATCTCCAGTTCTCTGTTACATTGTCAGGTAAAAAAAATTGCGTGTTATTTTTACCCAATTTAAAAGTATATATTTCAAGATGTTTTGTTGTCGTTTCGAAGTTGTTAAGAACGAGCGAGGGGTAATATTGTTTGTTTATGTTTAAATTTGTAGGCAAAACTAGCTGCCAGACGAGAAGGGGAAATGGATTGTGGCGTCGAATTTGTAGAATGCAACGCAGTAAGTCAGTCAAGCAAGAGAAGTTAAGCCTGATCAACTGAACGATGTAGAGTCAAGATAGCTTTTAGACGAGGTGTTATGTTGGGGCAAATTTGAATTGAGTCGATTCATTTTTTTTGTGTTATGTCTTAAGACCGATAAGATGATAATACTCTTTGCATATCACTTTAGACAGAGTAATCATCGGAAGATTTATACAGTGTACCGGAGAGTAATGGAATTTTTAAAGATTAATATATAGGATATCCCCAACGGTTTTTTTGTTTGCCTGCTAGATTCGGCCCCATTTATGTCTTAGATCGTCGTTCCTGAGTATAGAAATGGTTTCCTGTGTTCCAGTTTGAGAATTTGTCCAAGTAGCTTCCCCAGAGATGTAGCAAGTTTTTTTTTAAGTTAAGTAGTGCAATATATGAAAATAAGGTAACAATTGATATATTAATTTTCTTTCCAGTTATATGGACATTTTTAATAATTGCTTTCATTAAAATAAAAGAATTTATAATAATTAAAGTTTTATCAAAGAATATAGACGCTTAGACGCTTATAGAAGAACAGTTCAAATGGTATATACATTTACAAACTGTATGGCATATACAAACAGTATATACTTCAAAATCAAAACACTTCTGGCAGTCGGCTTAAAACTATCATAAAAGATGTAGTTAGGGGAAAGTGGGAAAGTTATATGAACGGAGGTATTTATTTAACTTTGCATCTACGCCTAAACAAATTTCGATGCTTTTTTTGTTTTTTTCAGAATAAAATCTTGATTTTTAATATATTAAATTGTTAAATTTTTAATTTTGAAATTTAAAAAGGTATGATATTTACAATATTCAAAGCATTTATTTTTAAAATTTTATAACTTTGATTTAAAAATAGATTTGTTCCAACACAACGAAAAACCGTCACATAAATTTTTATTATACTGTTTTTCTGCCCAAAAATTAACGAAATATTTTTTAAAAATTTCAAAATTTTTCAACCAAAAATTTAATTTTCTCAGGACTTTTCATTTAACTGTTTAGACAATTTTTCACTTACTCTTGTACGATGTTTACCGATCAAATAAGGTTTTAAAATAAATATCAAATAATGCATGCGACTATATTCTTTGTCAGTGGACGAGAGAGGTAAAGTGAGAAAAGATTCGTCTGCTGACCAAATGCACTTAAGAATACACTCTTGAATGGAAGTAGGTATATTTAGTATATAATAAAATTTTAAAAGCATCTAAAGAACAATAATACTTGAAATAAAAATAGTTATTTTAAAATTATTTTCTTCTAAGAAATATGAAATTAGGCGAAATGTATCAAATTAAATATATTCTGCAGAAAAAACAGTGTTCTGTTTTACATATAATAAATTATATTAAAAACAAAGAAGAAGAAATTATTAAATTTAGAAACTTTGGAAATATTTAATTCCGGTGATTGATGACTTTATTGATTAAATTAATTTTATTTATAGTAAACAAGAAAAGAGTTTTAATTATATTATTTGTAGATTTGTACACATTTAAATTAAAAATTTGAATCATAATATTTTTTCTAAAAGGATTCATTTATTAAAAGTTAAAATATTATTATTATTTTTTAAATGTTATAAAACGCAAAAATTTTATCCTATTCTACGGCCACGCGGCGTCTACATAAAAATATCTGTTGCATTTGTTGCCCCACTCTTTCATATTTTAAAAGCAATAATAGCGCTGACATGACAGCTCCCTATTGGTACTAACATCTCGATCCACATTTTTAATAATTGCTGTCATTAAAATAAAAGAATTTGTAATAATTAAAGTTTTATATTATGTTACAGTCTTAGCCAAAAAATGCCATATTTTATCCTGTCTTAAAATGTTATGTTGACATATGACATTTTGCTCTAATCCATTGTTGTAAAACCAATTTCATTTGATTACTATATAGAAAAGATATTTCATATATAAGGTTAAATTCTACAGTATTTTCGTAAAAAGGATATCCTTAAGGTTTGATAATCTAATTTGGCCATATTATAACCTAGGAACCATTTCAAGAATTTTTGTAGCAATCTCTTTTGTAAACAAATAACACGTAAGTTTTTGTTAATTTGTTTTATGTTATATAGTATGCTCTTGTGTAATCTGTATTTTTGAAAACTGTTTGTTTGAAACAAAAATAAACGTTTGTTTTGTTTGTCTGATCCATTTTGTGTTTTAAGTTAGAAAAGTCTCCTAATCCTTGTATGTATTTTTGATTTTAGAGAAGAAAAATTTTTTCTTTCTCCCAGCAGGAAGTTTTCTTCAAAGCGGAGTCCAAATAGAAATAGCTAGAGGTAGCTTTGTCTGCCATGTCTTATTTCGTTTTTGACCCAGGAGATTTATGTAAGTATCCCTTTGTTTTCATTTTGTAGATACCCCAACCCGACCAATTTTATTTCAACTTATCCACGACCCAGCTCTCCAACAACCCCTTAAGTGCCGTACGCACTAGTTTCGATTATTTTGTTAGCCCAATCTTCTACTCTTATGTACTCACCCTGAGGTAAGCAAAATAGTTCGTTATAAGGGTGACACAGTTTGGGTGGAGGTTGGCGTGGGGATTGACGCGTGGGGATTGTCGCGTCGATTGGCTCGGAGCTTAGCGCGAACATTTCTGACAGTAGGATTGTGATTAGCGGGTGGACCAGACGATATTTTCTTTATGAGAGGTCTTCATGGCGAAGGTAACTGTATGTCGTCATCTCTTTTATTGAAACAATTTAGCCTTTTTTCAATTTCTATGGCTTCTCGGATAATTCTTGGTTTATAGAAGCGAATGAGGGCTATGGTTCTGGAGTTTTCAAAATAAATTTTGTGACCTGTCTGAAAATGGTGTTGACCTAGAGCTAAAATTGAGTCGGAATTGAAAACAGAAATGGAATGTTCATAAATCCTATTTTGGACTCTACGATATCTTTGGCTATATAGGATCGTGGGCAGCCTGCACAAGGAATTTCATAAACTCCGTATTGTTCATTTGGAATGTTGTCTATGATTGATTGGACAAGAGATAAAAGTTTTTGTTGGGGGTCCTAATTATGTGATTTTCGCGGTAATCGTTTTGGATAAGGGCTTGTTTTAAACTAAAGAGCTCAGCGGGGCTACTTGAATCATCGCAAAGGCGTATTGATCTGGAGACAAGGGCATTAATGACTGAATTAATTTGTGAAGGTGGAGGATGAGAGTTGGCATACAGTTGGTAACGATTGGTATGGGTGGGTTGTAGATAAACAGAGTGATGAAAACCTTGGGATTGGCCTTTTTATGATAATGTCGAGAAACGATAGAGATGAATCAGTTTCCACCTTCATCGTGAACTGGATACTAGGATGTATATCATTCAGATGGGTTTGAAAAGACACCAAAGCATCCCTGTCATTAGGTCAAATAACGAATGTATCGTCAACATATCGTAGCCAACATGTGAGTTTAAGCATTGATGTGAATAGTGCTCGGGTCTCAAAATCTTCCAAAAGATATTGAAAATTACTGGGGATAGTGTGGAGCCTATTGGAGCACCATTTATTTGCCTGAAGAATTGATTTTTTAAGATGAAATAAGTGTCGGACATACAATGTTTAATGAGAGATAAATGGTCTTGCTGGATATTGTATTTAGTTTTCAAAATGTTTAGAGTTTCGTCTATAGGAATGTTTGTAAAGAGTGAAATCATATCGAAACTTACTAGAATGTCTGACGATGAGATAGGGTATTGTTTAAGAAGTTCAATGAAATGAAAAGAATTTTTGACGAAGGATGAAGCATTTTTAGCGAGAGGTTGTAGAGTTTTACCCAAGTACTTGGCCAACACAACCATCTGGCATACTTGATCGTGCTGGCTATTCCATCAATCCTCGCCTTCCTATTCACAGATTTGGAAATATACGGTAAATGTACATGCTGGTCATAGGTTTGGTAATCAATCATGTTCCAACTTGTTAAAATCATATTGTATTAGCTGGAATAATATTGTTGTGAGTAAAATACCTCTGATTCCGGTCGTGCGTTAGAGAATTCGAAATCTCTCTTCGCCGCTGAAATATTTAACGAACAAATCCTTTCGACGCAGGGATGACCTTCGAGAATTTACTGTGTTCTTTACGACTAGGCAGCTCTTTTGAGATAGTTCGTTCTCATTAGATAAGCCAGCTAGTGAAGGATCAAGATTATTATCGGTGATTCTACGGATCAGTAAGGATAATTCTCTAAGCGATTATTAATAATGTAATTAGTTATTGTGATGTTTGTAACAAAGTAAGTTTTAAGTTTAAATAAAGTTAGTTAAAGCATTTAATCATCCGATACCGTAGAGTTAGATCAAGATCTCGTCGCGCTAGCAACGCTTGCCATCGAGATACGCGGACTCGCCGACTTTAGCCTACTTTCTCGACAAATAATGGCATATTATCACCACTCTTTGACGTCACCATGCATTTTGGGGTCAACAAGCATGAAATAATACATAAAAAATTACTTGATATCTACTATTGTATCTAAAGAAACGTCAAACGCATCAGTCGTATTTATTTCCTAAAACAGTTCTAGAGTAATAATCTCGACCTATGAAATTAATAGTCTTGTACGATTTTCAGGAAGATGCTTATCAACGGATTAAGGAATTGCGTATTTTGATGCGTATAATTAGATAATTCAGATTTCAGAAAAAATATTTCGGTATATGCATGTTTATGTACAGCACTTAATGCAGTATGTACTTTGTTTACTGAAATAATCGTTTTTTAGGGAATGTTTCTAAACAAATTCATCTTTTTTGCTAAAAAGATAACGTCTGCAGTGAAACCTATCTATACATTTTTAATATTGGCTTAGACAATACTAAAAAATTTCAACGGCTTTTACAGCCCTTAAGAATGCAGATTATTCTTCCGGCGTTTCTTTACACTGCTGGTTTGTGTAATAATGGTAAGTAACAATTAACAGATTCAATTGTTTCAAACTGTTCAGGGAGCTGGTTAACGAAAAAATTTTCAAGAATAAAATTGAAGACTTAACTACTCTTCAAAGTACCTATTCAATCTTAAAAGTAATTACAAATCTCTCATACTGGTTCAAAGGCTAGTGTAAAAGAATGAAATAAATAGGCATGTATGTGGAGGTACATAAATCAATAAATATATTTTACCTAATATAATAACCATGTCGTTAGGATTACGTGTTTGAGTGTCGATAGTAGTGCAATGAGCAGCTGTGATTACGTGTTGCTCACTAATTAGAGAAGCACCGCATATGTAAATTCTCTCCTGTCCTTCTTTTCGGTAGAGTGCGGCATGCCAGGGGTACTGTCCTAAAAAAGATGAAGTTGTAAAAATATACACAACGCAAAATTCTAAGGATATTTGACAATGCCAATGACAAAAATTTCATGACCATATACATTTTCTTGTACCATAATTGTTGATACAGACACACTTCTCATCAAAAAAACATTTGTAAAACTGATAGCAATACGTGTTTTAGAATATTTTTTGTAAGGGACAAAAAAATTGACATTTTTATGTTTTGTTTATTTTTAATTTTATTCATTTTATATTATTCTTGATTAATAGGTGAGTTAAATATATTGTCTTTTTACTGTAACGACAACATTTAACGTTGGACGAGATGAATAGAGCTGTGGGCCTCCTTCAAGCTGGTATGCGACAAACTCAGTTGCTGACCAGCTGGGTGTCTCCCAAAGCGTCGAAAGTCGTTTGTGGCGTCGGTTTAGAGATACTGAGAGTCCAGCCGAGCAACATCCAGGACGTGGTCACTCTACAACCGTCGCTCAAAACCGATATTTCATTTTAAATGCCAGAAGGCAGCCAACAATAATAGCACCCGAGCGGGTTAATGAATTAGAGCTTGCACATAATATAACAATTAGCAGCAGTACTATGATTAATCGTCTCCATGAAGCCAATCTTCGTAGTCGGTGACCACTGAGATGTTCATCTCTATCCAGAGGCAATTGCGCTGCAAGATTAACCTGGTGTCAAGAGTTTCAGAATTGGACTGACAATAACTGAACCACAGTTTTGTTTAGTGACGAGTCTAGATATGGATTTCATCCAGATTCTCGTCAGATAAGAATTTGGAGACGACCTGGAAATGGAGAACGATTACGGCATCTTCAAGAAGTATATGCATACAGAGGTGGTACATTAATGGTATGTGGCGGAATCATGATTGACGGTAGAACTGACCTCATTTTCCCACGTGGCTTTCTCACAAGTCAGCAATATTTGGACACTATTCTTGAACCTGTTGTGCTCCCGTTTGCTGCTGCTGTTGGAGAAAATGTTTACTTTATGCATGATAATGCTCGACCACATGTTGCGCATATTGTAACAAACTGGTTGGATAACCAAGGTATTGATGTATTGCCGTGGCCAGCACAATCACCGGACCTAAATCTCATTGAGCATGTATGGGACATTCTCCAACGAAGAATTATTTCACATAAGGACAATATCTATAATGAGTTTCAATTAAAAAGAGCTTCTGAGAGAACAATGGACACAACTACCTCAAACAGACATTAACAATACGATTTGGAGCACGAACAGTAGATGTAGAGCTGTGATAAACCAACGTGGTGGCCATACTTTATTTTAAGTTTATATTTCGTATTTTTGACATTTTATGGTGGTATGTGAAACATGGTGATTTGAAAATATATATTTTTTTTGCTCCAATTTTCTGTTTTTTTTTTGCAATTTATGGTTTTTGACATATTAAACAACAATTTAAACTACAAATTTTGTATTACTTTTTTTAAGTTGATTACAAATTAACAAAATACGTCTATTTATAAAAATATCCCAAGACTTTTGCGTTGTGTGTAGTTCAGAAAAGTCTTGAAAATAAAAAATATTATGTCAATATTTATTTTAATTCTAATCTACAGTATGAGTTAAAAAAAAAATTTCGCGACTTAAAAATTTCGTGAAAATATATCTCTAGACATATGTTTTAATAAAGTGTTGGGAAACGACCTTAATAAAAAATGAAATACAATTTAATTAAATAAGTATGCAAATGTAGCTAATGCCAATGTTGACAAATTATTACTTTTTATGTTGTATATTGCATTTGGTTTGTTAATCACTTCTGGATAAAATAGAGCGATTTGTATCTTGTTGATACATTATTTCATGGTCCTTGGGCCGCATAGCATATTAAAGAGAACTGAAAGTTGAATCCAGACAAATCATTCCTGTGAGGTAACGCCATCAAAAGCAACAAGCGACGAAAGCAACAACGGGCCAGTGTGTTTCTGTTTCTTCCCATTCCTAGAATTATGTACAAAATCATCTTGATTTTTCTTAGACAAGCACAAATAGGTACAGTAACATATCCAACACATCGATCATCATAATGATGGATCATCATAATGTCAAAATCAGTAGAAGCAGAATAATTAAACGATTTAAAAAATGCACGTAAGCATTTAAAGAGAGCACTAACTAGGTTTCAAACGATTTAAGATACGTTTACTAATGATAAAATAACACAATTAAAAAAAGGGATTGAAAATTCAAATAGTCTAATTACTATTTAACTGGGAATAAGCCACAACTAAAGATAAAAATACGTTTATTGACGTTTCAATTTACACTTCGGAAATCGTTCTCAAAATACAAACAGTAAATTAAACAAATTTTGTTTTTTGTTACATAGTGAAAAATTCTTCTAATAATTTAATTTTATCCGACTCATTTATATTGACAATTCAGACATACATTATGCATTTTAAAGTAGACGACTTTAAAATGATATTGCCAATATTGTTCAGTTGCGCTCCTGGGATGACTTTACTTATAAGATAGTTCATTCGATTACATGAAATTAACTTTAACTTGAGAATATCTACCAGAAAAAAAATCATAGCATGTAATTCGTCTTTAAAAAGACAAACACGTGACATGATGACAGTAAAATTCTCCTGTTAGTGATTCCATAGTAAATTATGAGGGAAAAACCAGGAAAAAACCTCATAATACTATCCCGACATGGTAAGTATTTGTTCGTGCATTTAGTTTACCTTCAATAAACACCAAAATTCTGATTTTATATGTTTCGTTATTTAAAAAACATAAATGATGTATGCTCTATATGTTACTGACTTACTAATACTGGTATTTTCTTATTAATAACTTCCTCTTTCAATATTGGTAACCAGATCCTACTACATTCTGCCGAGGAATTTGCGACACAATTGGCCTCATTCAGCATAATTAGAGCCGCTTCTTTGATTTTTCTTTTTTTACCATCCGTTTCTTTTAGGACTACATTTGAATTATTCCATTGAACCCTATGTTCATTATCCCATGCGTGTTTACATATTTGAGATCTATCAAATTCTCTATTTTTAATATAAGATTGATGTTCACTTATTCTAACATTTAATGATCTGGATGTTTCACCTAAATAAAACTGATCGCATTCATAAGGTATTTTATAAATGCAATTCTTTGTCCTTTCTTGTTTATTGTTAGGTTTGGTTTTGGACAAAATAGATCTCAACGTGTTTGTTGTTTTGAATGTTGTTAAAATGTTGAATTTATTTCCTATCCTTTTAAGTTTTTCTGATAATCCTTTTATGTACGGTATTGTTATTTTCCTCGTATTATTCCTTGTGTATTATGTGTATCAAATAGTCTATTATCGAAACACCATACACCATCGAATTACGATAAGTAGTCCCAATGTTAATACTAATATGTCACACTCATTCATGAAGAGAATTATATTCGAAAGGTCAGAAAATTTTATTTAATTGGAAGTCTAAGAGGTTCAGCACAAAAGATTCTGTAAGGTATACTGATTACCAAAGAACATTATGATGTTGTTTGGAACTTACTTAAAGATAAAAAGAGGTTTAAATCGTTGTAAGTAGGTATATTTAAAAAACCCTTAGAAGGGCTACATCAAAATAACAAACGTTTTCAGAATAATAATTCCATCATCAGGTTAAAAGCCAAAAATAAGTATGAACCATTTAATTAAAGCAAACGTGATTGATGTGACGTGATTAATTAAATGTTTCATACTTATTTTAGGCTTTTAACCTGATGATGGAATTATTATTCCGAAAACGTTTGTTATTGTAATGTAGCCCTTATAAGGGTTTTTTTAAACATATTTCTGGCGAATCCAAATTTTAATATCTCTCGCGATATTGACATATTAATAGGCACAAAAATCTTTTACTCATTACTTGAAGGAAAAACCATTGAAGTAGGAACTAATTCCTTAATCTTACAAAAATCCAAGTTCGGTTGGTTGCTTTCAGGTCCTTGTATACCTGTAGCAGCGGTATCATGCAACATCGTCACTTCCTTATCCTTAGAAGATATTTTAGAAATATTTTGGAAATCCGAAGATCTAATGGAAACTATAAACGGTTATCGCATAAGAAACAGAGTTATAAAGAAAACTTTAACATTACGGTTTAACGTGCATACTGTGGAAGATTTATCGTAACAATGCCATTAGTTCTACGTTCTTCTCTGGAAATTCATATCACAATGCTTTGAAACGTATGCATGCTATGGAATGCTTATTTTGGAAAAATCCAAACTTTAAAAGCTTTTACTCAGAGTTTATGTCTGAATATGAAACTTCGGTACACATGTCAAAGACAGATGATATTAACGATCACATTAACGTTTTTTAACTTCTCATCATTTGGTATTCAAGGAATTCAAACTTGTTTCAGTTTTAGATGGTTCATGTAGGTATATCTAGTAATGGTCTGTCTATCTTTGAACGATGTAACACTTGTCGGACCTACTATGCAGCGTTTGAAATTTTCATATTTACTATTTATATAATAATATAGGTTCTGTTTTAAATTTTGAAGTTCGTCCCTGGTTGTTTATCTCGTCAGTACGCATAAAGATTGCCAAGAAATCTGTGTTTGTCTTTTACATAGAAATTTTAAAACGATCGATAATATAGCAAGTTTTTTTTATATTTCGGCGGAGAAGTTAAATGAAGGTTGATATTCAAACTAGAATATTTCAAGTTTTTTTGACGAGTTAAGGCAAAAATATAGATGTTTTGTTTCTGTTACATTGCCAGGTAGAAAATTATTCCGCTTAAAATAATCAATATAATACGTGTATTTATACCTATTCAAAAGTAAATATAAATGTTTTTGTCTGTGTTTACATTCAAATCTCCAACTTTTTGTTACCTTGTCAGGTAAAAATATAGATGTATTTGTAGTTCTTTACATCGAAGTCTCCTAATATTCCGGTTAAAATAAAGATGTTTTATGGTAGTTCGTAGGGACGAGCGAGGGGTAATATTGTTTGTTTAGGTTTTGTAGACCACAAACTAGCTGCGGAGAGAGGAAGGGAAATTTGAATTGCGTTTAGTTAGGAGTCGAAGAAAAGATTTAAAACTGAGAAGACGTTTTGCGGACGGCAGTGAAGCAACAGATTTGAGACGATAAATATGTTTGCGCGATTTTGAATCGGAAGTTGATTCATTTTTTTGTAATGTTTTAAGACCGGTCAAAGTTATAATACTCTTTACAATTAATAGCAGTTTAAAACAGAGTAATCATGATAAGATTTGTATAGATACCGGAAACTGATGAAATTAGTATATAGGGTGTCCCCGTCGTCTGCATTTCTCCTCCACCAAACCTGATTTGATCGTCGTTCCTGAGTATGGAAATCGTTTCCTGTTTTCCAGTTTGAGAATTTGTCCAAGTAGTTTCCCCAAAGATGTAGCAAGGTTTTTTTTAAAGTTAAGTAATGCAATATATGAAAATAAGGTAACAATTAATATATTAATTTTTTTAAGTTATATAGACATTTGTAATAATTGTTTTTATTAAAAATTAATGTTTTATATTATCTTAGAGTCGTAGCTAGAAAAAAATGTCATAATTTATTCTGTCTTCTGTAAAATGTTATGTTGACATATGACATTTTGCTCTAATCTATTGTTGTTCTAAAACAATTTTAATTTGATTATTATATATAAAAGATATTTCATATATAAGATTAAATTCTATGATATTTTCTTAAAAAAAGGATATCCTTAATTATAACTTTCTAATTTGGCCATATTATAACCTAGGAACCATTTAAATATTTTTGTAGCAATCTCTTTTGTAAACAAATAACACGTAAGTTTTTGTTAATTTGTGTTTTGTCATATAGTATGCTCTTGTATAATCTGTACTTTTGAAAACTGTTTGTTTGAGACAAAAATAAACGTTTGATTTATTTGTCTGATCCATTTTGTGTTTTAATTTAGAAAGGTCTCCAAATTCTTGTATGTATTTTTGATTTTAGGGAAGAAGGTTTTTTCTTTCTCCCAGCAGGAAGTTTTCTTCAAAGCGGCGTACAAATAGAAATAGCTAGAGGTAACCTTGTCTGCCATATCTTATTTCGTTTTTTACCCAGGAGATTTACGTATGTATCCCTTTGTTTTCATTTTGTAGATACACCAATCCGACCAATTTTATTTCAATTTATCCACGACCCAGCTCTCCAACAAACTCTTGAGTGCCGTACGCACTAGTTTCGATTATTTTGTTTGCCCAATCTTCTACCCCATGTTCTTACCCTGAGGTAAGCAAAATAGTTCGTTACAACTGTAAGGGATAACTTAGTTTCGATTTTATTACGATTTCGTAAGCATATATACGTAATGACTCTCGATATCGAGAAAATGTATCGACAAATATGGATCAATAAGGAACAACGTAACGGATAACGTATTATTTGGCAAACAGACGAAGAACAACCTATAAAACATTATACTATCATCAATTGTTAATCAAGTAATCTAGTTATTCTCAAATTATACTTAAAGACTTTTATGTCGATGACTTAATTACCGGATCAAATTCCCTTAGAAAGCAAGAATTATAAGAAAAAAATGTCTTCAATCTTAAACAGTTACAGATTCAATTTACGAAAATGGTTGGTAAATGATAATCAAATTCTAGAAGATACATCACAATTTAACATAAACTATCATATAACCGACAATGAAACCAAAAAAACGTTAGGTATTTATTAGCAGTCAAAGGATAATAACTTTAAAGTTTATTATTAATAAAGACTTTATCATTGACTCTGTTACAAAATGAACTTTATTAGCATCCATATCAAAGATATTTGATTCTATGGGCTTAATATACCCAATAATAATGCAAGCTAAAATATTCATACAAATCTTGTGGTAATTGCATATTGACTGGGACAAGAAATTGCCATCAGATTTAGTGGATTGGTGGAATAAGTTTAACGATCAACTTAAATTCATATCAAACATTGATATACCACGACTCGCTATTCTGCCCAATCATAATTATATCAAACTGCATGTTTTCTCAGACGCTTCATTAAAAACTTATCCATTTATATTAAATCAGAGCATCTATTTATATTAACTCCTTTGCAAATAATGAAATAAAAGTTTCTGTGTTATGTTCGAAAACTCAAAAAGCTCCAATAAAAATGATAATACTGCCAAAGAGCTTTGTGGTGACGTCTTAAGTGTTAAAATACACACTGGAGAAAACTCTAAGGGTTGATACACTTTTATTACGTACTTTATACAAATTACATATACAGTAATTAAACCGACGATTTAAAATAGCGACTGACTTGGTCTAATGTTGAGAGCAAAGTGAAGTTGTTCTCGCCAAAAGCTGGCTTCTACTTTAACGGGTAAAAATATAAAGCTCTCTAATCAGTGGCGCGTGTGTTTGAATAGAGATAAAAATGAATATATTATTACCATGACAAATAAGTTTAAAATAAACATAGATGCAAAACGGAACATACACCAAGGTGTCAAGTTCGTTATCAATGCAGGTATGTAGATCAATCCTATTTTTGGACTGAGAGCACAGTTGTGTTAGTATGAATTTCTTTACCAGCCGATACTTTAAAAACTTTTGTTGCTAATCGTATATCAGTTATTCAACAATACATTGAATTAAATCAGTGGCGATATGTTCCAACACAAGACAATCCTGCAGGTGCCTATCTGTAGGTCTAGTGGGTGACAATCCTACTATCCCGCGGTTTCAAGGCACGTAATATGGTTGACAGCACTTTATGGTGGAAGAGCTCATCCCATGGACGTATAAATAAAGATATATTTATTTATACGTCCCTGGCTCATCCTGTTAGGAGAAAATGAAGAACGTTGGCCACAAAACGTAGAGAAATTTCCGAAAGTAAGTTGAATCAGGTAGTATTACTAAATAATATTCAAACCAGTGAACTTTTTTCACGACTCTCCTCATTATCTAAGTTGCAGAGCGTAACTTCAAGGTTATTTCGTTTTATCGCTAATTATCGCACAACTAAAACTATTGGAAATAAGGAAGATTTACTTCAGAATATATATATATATATATATATATATATAATATATATATATATATATATATATATATATATATATATATATTTGTTACGAATAGCGTAATCGGAAAGTTTTGCTTCTGAATTACATTCCATAAAAAATCATGGTTCAATTGCTAACAAATCTAAATTAATATCTTTTATCGAAGAGCTCCTCTTGCGTCACAAGCTTCTATGAAATACGCATAAGACATGGTAAAACAACTCTTACGACACGACATGAATCATATCGCCAGAGAGTTACTTCAATGTAGTTAAAAATCTTTGAAGAAGGTTGTATATATATATATATATATATATATATAATATATATATATATATATATATATATATATATATAGTGTATAAGCTGTCAAAACAGTTCCTGTTAGCTGAAAAATGGTGAACTGAATAATTTCGCATGAATTGCTTTCTTTTCATAACTTACTTCATTTTGTGGGTAAGAAGTGTGTATAGTATAGGTATTGTTTATAGTAAATTTCTTCTTCTTCTTCAAGTGCCCTGTCCGTTGCGAACGTATTAACATGGCAATTCTGATCTTGTTTGCGGCTCTTCTGAATAGTTCAGAAACTATAGTAAACTAGTCGTCTTTACTTTTCAGTGTAAATTTTTAAATGAAGTTTATGAAAATGAATTTTAAAATGCAGAGAAATTTTGTTAACCATTTAACCAATTTTTATTATATACCTATGTGGCCAACTAAATTTATTGCCAGGGATGTTAAAAAAACACTCTTTTGACTTTTTGTCTAGCTTTCGGAATGGTTTTATTCCTTTTTCAAGACACTGAAGTAAGAAAAATATCCAAATATTTACAAAATATCATAATTCTTCAGTGTAACTTACTAGTCGTTGAGATTATTTATAAAAGCATTGACACTCAACATTGATAACATACATATAAAATACAAAATAAGGACAAAATACATTCTAAAATTTTGAATGGTTCTTTTCCATTGCGAAAAATAGGAATCTACGAAATTAAATTCATGTTTCAACGTTAATGCATGTTCTGCCAATGCACATGCATTTATTTATTTATTTATTTATTTTTTTGAAAATACCAAGTTCTTGGGATAACCTAAAGAGAGAAGATAGAAGGCTAAAAGAAGAAGAATTTAGCTATAAATACAGTTTATATTAGGGTTTTTTGTTATATTTAAAATTCCTACCTGGTTTTGTATACTGTCCATGAGTAATCAATTCAATTTGAGTTGCTATAGTTACTCCACATCTTGGTACGTTAATATTTAACAGAATGGTTGGTCTAAAAATAAAAAAAGCATAATTTAATTTATTGCTGTGGTATCATCTAAATAAGTGTTATTGTAAAAAAGAATATTCATATAATTACATCTATGGAAATTACCGTATTCTATTTTATTAATTATTGCTGTTAAGTAAACCAAGACTAGAATGGATATACAATTAAAATAGATTGACTTATTTAATAGCTACGAGAATCTTAAAGATTAGACACACATGTCATGCATCCTTTCGGTCATGGGCCCTGCTCGGAAAGAAAGTACATAGTATATTATAGTACATACACAGACATGTATAGTTCTATATTTTATATTGGTTCCTGAAAATCCTGGCCTATTATGATACCAAAATCAGGTCGGTGTAATGAGCACACATGTCATGCTTGCTTCATAATTCTTTCCGATTTTACATTAGTTAGTCTATCTTGCCAGTCGATTGTGGAAAGTACTCTGAAACATTTCAATAACCGTGGTTTAGTTATTGTGGCTAGTTTGCTGTTAGTTAGCTGTTTGGATAAATAAGATCTAATTACAAAAGAATCGTTGATAGAAATCAATAAACGTAATTATGGATATGGGTATATTATCCTTGAAAAAAAAATTAAGAAACAGAATATTTTACACTTTCTATTATCTCTTGGATGACGAGACTAAATTATTTTAATCCTTTAGAATGCCGATGTACACCTTACATGGATTTCCATTTTGTCTGAATGGTTCGCGGTTGTTAGCTAAGTTTATTTCATATCTGTGTAAAAGTAAAATCTATCTTAATAAAAAGTGTAAAATGAGATGTGCTGATTTCAATTAACGATAATCAAATTAAAGGTTTTACTGGTAAAATTAGATTTTTTTCTGTTTCCCAAAGATAATGTTTTATCTAAGAAATGACTACATTTTTGTCGCCGGTCTGACAAATTCAATGTACTCACTGTAAGAATGTGTTTTGTACATTTTACGAGTGATGATTTTGAAAGAGATTTCACGGCAGAATTATTAGAATATGCCACCAAGCATAGAAGAATTTAGTACCTTCCCTTTTACCAAACAAATTAGAGGAACTCTGTAAAAATTACGTGATGCTAAATTAGTGAAGAGAAATGTTAAAAAAAAACAGGGTTATAAGAGAAGGAAACAAAGTAGGTATTTTCTGTAACAATTTTGTGTTTCTGAATTTCTTATGAATATTTTTAGGTGAACTCTAGACGGAGAAATGTCGAGAAATAATTTTCGAACTTGCTGAAAACGTCAATTTGGATAAAAACAGTTTTTTTTTTAAATTTGTATTTTAGAGTTAGAAAATTAAATATTGGTTGCAAACGCAAGCCAAGACACGCAAACAAAAATTTAATAAAATAATTAAATGATTACAAAAAACACCAGTGGCCGGTATTTTCTATACGGATTACAGTAATTTTTGTTAGACAGTTTTTTAATGATTGTTTCTCGGTAGTTTCATCCCCGATTAGAAGTAATCAAGAATTAATTCTTCATTAATTTTAACTGTTTGAAACTATTTTGATATTAAATTGTATAAGAAATGATAAAAAAATTCTAACATTAAAAAAAAATAAAATCTTAAATGTATCAACTGGGAGTAATCTAGTGCAAAGAAATTTTCTAAATTGTTTCCAAATATCGTTCTTATCTATTTATAAAGTAGGCCTTTGTATATTCTGAATTTTAACGGGGAGCCCTTAACGAGGCCTTATTTTTTTCAATATCCTAATGTCTGAATACAGAGACATTGGTAACATGTATTGAAATTACTTATTGTATTATTTTATAGTGATTCATTATCTGCAATAGATATAACAAATTTAACGTGACACTATTTTTTTTAATATCATATTATTCTTTTTTTTTGTAAACAAATAACAAAGTCGTTTAATATTTTTATCTAATTACGTCATGCGCGAACACGACGTATTTGCGCTACGGGAAGATCCTATATTGTCATTTGTAGTATCATGAGTGTAAATACTCATGTCTCTGATGAGTGGTGCTCTCTTTGTAATGGCAAGTTTGCACAAAAAAACAACGAGGTTGGTGACACAATAGCCTGTTTAAAACACGAAATGGTTCCGAGCTGATAATGAACTTGATGGTCTTTATGTTGAGGATCCCACATAAAGATTGGCAGTCCATGGAATTCTCAACATTCTCCGGAATATCCAAAGTTCAAAGGCTTCAAGCTTCTTAACTACTTGCGCTTTTAAGCGTTAAGAGTTATACAGATTTTTTTTACTTGATGATAAGATGGTTTTTAATTTTACCAAGGATACAGAAGAAAGCTTGTTTAAAATGAGTAAAATTAAACAAATTCCATTTGAAGAGGGAAGTCATATTTTTTAGTATGAAAGTTCTTATAAGGAAGTAGAGTGCAATGAAATAAAATTTAAAACAAGAAGGTCAAGTGGTATAAATACCATTTCTTTCCCCAGCCTAAAGCAGTATAATTTTCCTTCCGAAAAGCAAATTGAAAGATTGAATAAGTCTCACAAATAAAAACATGACCCCCTCATTCTACAAATCCTATGACAGTCTTAACTAGCTTTAATAATAATAATAACTTACAGCGCAATTTAAAGTATTTTATATTAAAAACAAATAAGTTGTGAATTTTATTACTTCCACATTGTTTAGTTTTCCACCACTATGTTATTTGTTTGTTATTTTAAAATAAAACATTTTTACAAAGAGGTAAAACACATTAAAACTGGGTATCAGGGAAGACTGATGAATGTAAAAGATAACAAGGAAACCTGATAGTGGACGAAAACCAAATATGTGAGAGGTGGAAAGAATATTTCGAAGAGATGTTAAATGATGGAGTGACTATTGAAGAAAATTATAATCTCCCTAAACCTCAAATAGTAATAAAAGAAATACCAAAGCCCACAAGAGAAGATATTGAAGAAATAATAAAAAAATATGAAAAATCAAAAAAGCCCCGGGGAGAGCGGCATTGTGACATAGTAAGCTAATACTATAGGTGTGGGATGCCAAAGAAATGCCTCAAGAATAGCACAAGTCCATTATAATTCCTATATTCAAAAAGGGAGATAGTACTGAATGCGCAAACTATAGAGGAATATCTTTGTTAGAGGTAATATTATATAATGTGTTCGCCACATTAGAGAGAATAATCTAGGAGAATACCAGGGAGGATTTCGCAAGGGAAGATCAACATCCGATCAAATTTTTATGCTAAACAAATCCTGATCAATTGCTTTGAATATAACATTTCAGTACTTTTTATTGATTACAAAGCCGCCTACGATACAATAAACAGAAACAAATTAATAGAAACGGTAAAAGAATTCCAAGTGTCAGAAAAAAATAGTAAAAGTGGTAAAAATGACAATTAGACAAACCATTTGTGCTGTGAAATGCAACGGTACAGTCTCAGAATAATTTGAAGTGAAAAAAGGTGTTCACCAAGAAGACCCGTTATCTACCTTGCTACTCAATAGATTTCAAGAAAAATTTGTAAGGGTTAGTTGGATAAATAAGCATACCCTGATGACGTGGTTCTCATAGTAAAAAATTGAAAAGAACTGGCAAGTATAGCAAAAAGTCTAATTCGGGAAAACTCTAAAAGTGGACTGAAAGTTAATATTAATAAATCGAAGTACATGGAAATGTCGAGCAAAAAGAAATAAGCACCAGGGGCTCCTTTAAGTTGGAGGTGGAGGATGAATCAGTTGTAGAATTCAAGAAGGTGGATGAATATATGTACTTAGGTACTGTTACTGATCAGACATGTAAGGAAGAAACTGAAATCAACTTGAGACTGCTCTTGAAATCAAGAGCAGCAGGTGTGCTGGAGTCACGAGCAAAATAATTAAGGCCAAAGATTTATCTCGTAATACAAAAATAAGAGTATACAAAACTATAATTAGACCCACAATGATATACGCTGCTGAGACATGGACTATGAATAAAACTATACAGAACAGATTGGAAGAATGGGAAAGAAAGATACTTAGCAGAATGTTTGGTGTAAAAGTAGTAGAGGAAGAATAGAGAAGACGAACTAATGCAGACGTGTACAAATTTTATGCTAACTCTACAATAACAAAAGTGGTGAAAAAATGTAGACTAGAATGGCTCGGACATCTAGAAAAAAGCAAGGTAGTAGACTAGACTATTGTGAAGAATATTGTTTGGAGAGTACCTGAGGGCAAAAAAAGAGAAAAAAGAGAGAGAAAAAGAAGACCAATAAAGAATTGGAGAGATGTAGTGATGGAAGATGTCCGAGAGATAGAAATCAAAAATTGGAAGCTGATAGCTAAGAACAGAACACGATGGAAAATATCCATCCAGCAATGGTCCTAAAAGCCCTGTTAACGCTATACATACATACACATGTTACTTGTCTGTTCTTCAGGTATAATGGACTCGGAATTCGGCGAGATAATTTAAACCGAAAGTAACAAAATTCGATTTGGCAACAATGGGTGAAAAACAAAGAACTCACAAACTTTATAATTCGAGTAAAGTAATTAGCGGATTAAACATATTTTCACTCATTCCACTGACAGAAATGTAAAAAAGTGTAATATTTTCAGAAAAACAATGACATATTTAATTTACATGCTATTCGGTACTGTGATGCTGGTTGTTATTATTTTATCAAATAAAATTCCTTAAAAGTTGCAGAAGAATCCCATAATGCCCAAATACTAATTGTATAGTAGCACTAAGTTGAAACTTTGGCCGATTCTATAAAACAAATCAACACGATTTTTGTTTTTGTCAATATACTTCCGGAAAAGCGATATGAAAATAGCAAAAGAAACTTTTCCTCATATTGCAATATGTTATAGATACTAATAAAAGCAAAACAATAGAAAATAAGTAAAAAGATATTGTATAGGAAACGAAGCAAAAAGTATAGCAAGAAAATATAATCGAATATAAAATCAGACGCCCCGAGACAGGTGGTGTGTGAAATTAGCAGGTTGTTCATCAATATAGTTTGCAATGAAAACACTTGTTTTAAATTAACTAAAAACTAAATCATCTAAGAGTAATTTGCATCTTACTTCTTAAAATCATCGGAAGCAACCACTATTGTAGTACTAACTTTTTCCTCTTCGTAATGAGGACATATTTCTCTACCGTTAAACTTAATTCTCACTAATCGTGGAGGTTCTAAGTCATAGTAGGGATCGTAGACTACGTAAATTTCTGCCTTAAACGTTTGGCCGGCCTTTATTTCATGGTTGTTATTCCTTATAGTAAATTGTGTGTTGTCGTCATCCGATGTTACTGCGCCTAGCCAATTCTACAACAAAATTAAGCATAATTAACCATTAATAGATAAAAAGATGACAGAAATAGACAGAAAACGAACAAATCAGAATTTAAAGAAAAAGTAGAAAATGACCATTTCCTGCTAAATGATAGATTAATGCTACTTCATGATTCAATGAAAAAATAGCTAGTAATGAGTAACAGGATCTTATTTTTGTGTTTCTTTAATGTAGATCGTCTTCTTAATATTTTCTTGGTTTTGAGAAGCTTAAAGCATTAAATGCACTTTTTGTTGAAAATGAGATATTGAGCTTAACTAGTTCCTCAAAGACCATTCTATAAGTATAACACTTTGTAACAATTCACAAATTAATTTCAATACATTTCCATCAACTAAAAGTTACCTTGGAAGCAAAACAGATTAAGTCCCGCTCCCTTAACGACCAAAACAGGAAAGTCTGCCGCAACGATTCCAACGAATCAAAAGCACGCTTTACACCCGCATGAGGTGGCGTTACATTTAGACCTAGATATCAGTCAGCAGTCAGTATTTTATTTTATAGAATATAATATAGTCGATTTCTTTGTAAATGTTATCTGACCACCTGCTGAGAGGTATTTTGCAGTTATTATTAGTAAATTTATTATTATTACTTTGTCCCCAGAAATGGAACAACCCGCTTCAGTTGGGAAAAATTTTTCTTACACCACAATTTTGTGCCTAAGTTTAATTTGGACGTTGGTTCACCTCAAGTCGATGTATGCTCAACGTGCCTGGAACTTTCAGGAAAAATAAAACAAGCAACCGGTATTCGGCAAACCGCATCTTTAAAGCTATCTAAGTTATTCACAAGAAAAGGTCTAAAGCTTTTGTTGCATTACAAAAAGTAGAAGAAAGGTGGCTTTTACGCTTTTACTCGATTGGCAGAAAAATTTGCCCAGTTAAAACTTTTTAATTAAAAAAAAATACACCAAAATGACAACTGAATCTATAAAACAAAACTAAATCTACAACAGATGCTCCACATGATGCCCATCTGTTTCTATGCACTTTATTCGCATACGTAAAGATCGCCTAATTATTCCAAAAATTCATCTATTGTTTCTAAATTTGTTGCAGGTATTTTTAATTCGTCTTCAAAGCTTATCGCGTAATTATAGCTAAATAAACCATTGTTTTTACGTATCTCCATACACAAAAATCGCAAGGATCTTAATCAGGAAACATTGGTGGCCAAGCTACTGGACCGCCTCTTCCAATCCATAGCTCACGATAATTATCATCTAAAAATATAAACAATCCCATTATAACCATTATGTAAAAACCACAAGTTTTGCCGAATATTTAAATTATATTGTTCTAAAGCTATTTTCTTGTGGCATTTTTATGTAATTTATTGTTTTTGTTGACAATAAGTAATAATTTTACTTTAAAAATCAGTTTATTTGGAGTTTTGATTTCCACTTCGGAAATCGTTCCCAAAATACAACACCATTAATAAATTAAACATATTTTGTTTTTATTGCTTGGTAAAAAATTCTTCTCTCGGGGGAGCCGGTAACTGCTAGAGAGCGCGTCCCGAGGTGGCAAATAGGGGAATGCTTACTCCAGGCGAGTAGACATAATGTCTCAGAATCTCGCAATGAAATTTCAGACCGTCCCGTGGATTCTCGAAGGGACAGATTTTCGATCAGAAATAACAAAAGCAGACACATAGAACATCCACATAAACATGTGGACATGTATGTAAAGAAATAAAATGGACAGTGATAGTTGTGGCAAAATTACGACGAAAAGAAGAGCAATTTATCGAACTAAAAAGTGGCCACTAACTATTCTACAAAGGAGATAAAGATTAAGCAGTAGGTGGTGTAGGCTTACTTATTAATAAAAGAGTGATATCCAGCATCACACAGTATAAGGCTATATCGAAAAGAGTAATATTAATAGCCATAAAGATTAACCAGCAGTATACATGTAAAATTATTCAGACCTATGCCCCGACATAAGATCACGAAGATCAGAAATAAGTTAATTAGAATGAAATTTTAATAGGACCCTATGAATTAGAAGAAAGAAATAATAGGGGAGAAATATTAGTAAACTATGCAAAAGAAAACAACCAGTATATAACCAATACGCTCTTTAAAAGACCAAAAAAACCAAAAAAGAGAAGATGGACCTGGCAAAGCCCAAATGGGACAGCAAAGAATAAAATAGACTATATAATAATAATAATATGCAATGACAGAAACGTAATATTAGATACAGTAGTGTTAAACATGATAAACACAGGTAGCGATAACAGAATGATAAGAACGCGAATAAGAATTAACACCAAGACAAAACTTGAATTAACTTGTGAAAATTTTACGTGAACGACATAATTTAACTTCAGTAGGAACTCTGAGGAAAAACAAACGAGAGATTCCCAAAGAATTTATACAGGTTAAGAACAGTCGGTCAGATAGCCAAGCGGGCTGTGCGGCCGGTTTTTCATTCGCTTCACTGCGAGAGATGTGAGTTCCATCCCCAGCTCGGTGTACAGAAAACAAAAAGGCTAACGCAGCAGTTTAAAATTCTAAATAAATCTGCGGCTTAGTCTAGAATATGCTGGTATCTGATCGGTCTATGGTGGAGCAGTACGGCAAGAGATAAGAGCTTGCGTCTCGGTAATACTCCTCAATAAATCCCTACCGGAAGGGCGTGTGCCACCTAAATACCGGGTATATATATATATATATATATATATATATATATATATATATATATATATATATATATATACAGTGTAGGTAAAATTTTATGGTCGGTATGGTAAAACTTAACAGGATATCTAACACAGATATAAAATCATATTTTCAGCGAATAGACAAAGATAACAATCATATTCCCCCTTGGTCTCCCCTCCATAAATCTTCTTTACGCCCATTTTGCCTGTTAGTGAGACGATTAGTTCCGATCAGAGATATTTTACATATTCTGTGGTTCCGATCCTCATAAAGCTAAGAAACTAGAGGTGGGTCCTTTAGTTTTTTAAATTTTTATCGGAACCGTTTTTCGTAAACTGTAACTAGTTGATTGTTTACCAGTATTCAAATTAGCGAGTATACAAACATATTGACTATTATCGTTTATGTGTATAAGTATTAAAGTGAAAGAAACTAACGAAGAATATATTTATTATAACTTGAAAAATAAATTAAACAATACAAATAGTACTTACATTTACATGGACTTAAGTCATCTTTATCAGTTTCTTTTTCTTGTACTAGTCAATTTTCAATAGTATAATCTTCTTTTTCTTTTTTTTTTATAGAAGTAACCAGCTTTAACCATCAACTAGTTGATTTTAACGAATTTAACCGAAAATTTAGAGTTTAACACGGTTTAATTAGACTGCTGCCATTTTTCTGGAAACCATAATTAAGAAAACATCGCTTTTAAAATTAGTGAAATTATTATTCAGGGGTTCTAAAACAAAAAGTAAATTTTGCAATAACTGATAATGCCTCAAATATGGTCATAGCTATTAAATATGCTTTGGAATGAAAACATTTAAATTGTTTTGCTCATTACTTTAAATTTATTGATGGAGGACGCACTTAAAATGCTGTCGTGTACAAATAGATAAAATAAAAAGTCTTTTTTTCGACAACTCGGCAAAAAAACACATTTCAAAAAAGTACCTTATCTTCAGAAACGCCTTTAAAGTATCAATTACAACATAACAAAGATCCCAAACGGCCAATCCAAGACGTGGAAACTAGGTAGAACTTCACCTATTACATGTTAGAAAGAATGACGGAGTTAGAAGAGGCAATCCGTTCCACATTGGTATCAGTCACTGGCGCCGACTACGTGAGTGCTGCGGTGCCCGCGCCCCGGACAGGTAAATCTGTCCGGTGCGAAGCACCGGACGCCGATGGAGGATGGAGTTGAATTTTCTGTCGGCGAACGATACATGGGAGAGAAAATTTCTCTCCCGCCCACTCTGCGCGCTTCGGGTTGAATTCTCGGACGTGCATCGTGCATCCTTCACTTGCTGGTTTTGTGTGTTTATTCAATGTTTCAAGATAAACCAGTCGAATATATTTCAATTTGTCAGGCATACGGTGCGTTTTTTATTGGTGAGGGGATGTGCCATCACTGTACATAGATTAAGACAGGTAAGTACAAAGGGGAAATATTTGAAGCGTTTATCTGAAAACCAACATGTTATTGTCCAAGAATTAAAATTTTGGCAAATCAAGAAAAACTGTCCAGCTTCAATTTATTTCAAATCTTTCTTTTACTAAGATATTCATTGGAAGGATTGTGGATATCAAAATAATTGTACAAGTTGATTTCATATTTTTATTGATATATTAAACAAAAATCGGTAGAAATAATCTATATCATCTATAATATTCATAACATTAGAGGAGGTATTGTGTTGAACAGTTTCTGCCATGCTGAACTAGTTTTCTATTACAAAAGAAACAAACACCACCTGTTATTAACAAAGAACGCACACAACTTATTGAACTGATAAATTTATAGACAAAATCATTCATGCTTAGCGATAACCGTTAATTAAGATGGGACAAGTGTTGCTTTTACAACATACCGCTTGGATATATGTTGTTTTTCTAAAACTATCCGAATATTCTATGTAGTTTACTCCGGACATTTGGGATTTTTACACAACTAATGTGCGAGATCGATAAAAACTACTATTTTATGCGAACAACATATAAAGTCAAATTTTTAAAAAATGAACATGCGTTGTTTTTCAAATAAACGCTTCAATTGTGTATTAAAATGCTTTGTTTTGTGACAACACGAATGAAGTGTGAAATTTTCATTCTAGATTCCTGATCACTAGAAATGGATAGTGGATACAAACTCATCAGGCTACGAGGAATGAACAACCTGTTCTAGTTCCATCGACATCTGTTGAGAGTTACAATGGTAGTAAAACCATAACGTCTAGTGGAAAGAAGGGCAGACAGTTTCGTGACACGTGGAGTGTCACTTATCCATGGATA